CTTGGCTTTCGGAGCTATAAACTCGATGGGAGGAAGAAAGCCATGCAAGCATTAGCCAAGGACCACATCCATCGGGCTTCTTTTTAGGACGCCAAATTTGCTTTGTTTCGCAACTTCTTGTTCCAACTCCCTATTCCTCAATCGTTGTACTCTTCTTTTCCGCTTTTCCTTAGGCTCGAGGACACCACCGTCCTTTTTGCCATACGTATTTACAAAAGTCACTTCTTCATTATGCACTCTATCATGAATCCAACCTTGAACTCGCAACTCTTTTCCTTTGCTGATTCTCAAAGCCACCTATTTTTAAGCGCCGATCATCTTCGGAATCTTCGCTCCAAGTCTTTCATAGACGGGACGGCGGTTGACTCGAGATTGCCTATACTCGAGTAATCGAGCACTACACTCGGACAATTATTTCTTGCAGCAACCTCAAACCTTCATTCCAACAATGCCTAAAGAACGAACAACCCCAATGAGACCGCTCCTCGTTCCGTCATGTATTCTTCTTGCTCCCTTCGGTATACTTCTTCCTCATACCTCCGGCATTCTTCCATAAACCATTGTTTCTTACGATATTCCTTCTCTTGTTCTCTCTCGCCACTTGTTCAAAGAAAATACGGATGTAACTCGGGTTTGAAGTTTGACCTTTCTCGGTTCGGCTATTCGAAACCGAACTCGATCTCGCAGCTTCTCATCGGTGATTTGCCGATCCGGGTCAACAAAGACCACTCTCCTTTGCTCTATCGAAGTCAACACTTTCACCTTGCCTTTACCTTTGAGATCATTGGCGGATACCACATTCACAGAGAAAGAAATCATATTTTGTGGAAAAGGCGATCATCAATTTTCATCTTGCCATCAAACCTCAAATGTCCCTCTTGGATAGCTTTACGGATTCGCATTCAACACTCGGCAATCATTAATAGAATGAGAATTAGTGTTATGAAAGCCACAATTTTTTGTCTTTCACTCCTTGTGACGTAACATAGGATGTCCTTCGGTAACTTGATGCGTCCTTCCTTTATCAACAATGCAAAAAGTCCATCGCTTTAGTAACATCAAAATCATAGGTTCCCTTTTGTTGTTTCAACCAGCGTTGACTAACTTGAGTGGGTTCCTTGTCCCAATTTAACTCAAATTGCAGCCTATCTCATCTTCATCAATATACTCACCGCTTTCATCCGTAAAGCCCCGATACACCTCATTAGTGGCATTGTTCTTCCGAAAGCGATTATCTCTCCACGAACCCTTGGGCTTGATTACTCATAGTCGCTAAAACGCTGTGCAAGTTGACCAAGATCATCAAACTCTAAACCGAACAACTTCTCCCTGATATTTGGCAACATTCCTACTATAGCAATTCCAGGTAGTTGATCATCTGGTAAATTTAGAGAATAACACATATTCTTGGTCTCCCTAAATCTGCGAAGATACTCCAATGGTGTTTCATTTGTTCTCATCCTCAGACTCATGAGATCAACCAATTTCTTCTCATTGGTACCCGTATAGAAATATGAATGAAACTTCTGCTCTAGTTCTGCCCACGTACCAATGGAATGAGCCGGTAGAGACGTGAACCATGTGAAAGCCGGTCCTGTAAGAGACAAAGGAAAATATCGAATCCTCCATGCTTCATCTGAAGCAGCTTCTCCAAGTTTGCATTAAGTACCGAATCGATGTGCTCTATGGTACTAGTATCATCTTGACCAGAAAACTTGGTCAAATCTGTTGGAGGCTTCACCCTTGGAGGCAATGCCACTCTGTTGTACCATTCTGGATAAGGAGATTTGTATGAATAGGATTGATTCTTTGGCTTCAAGCAAACCGATTCTCGCATCATATCACCCATCCTGCATCAAAACATCAATACCGGATCCTGGTTTCTTTGTACTTGCACTCCGTATGCGGTCCTGAAACACTTCTATACCACAGGTTTGGCACAAGATTGATAGCACCAGAATCAATAAAATTCTTGATATCCATCTCCATACATATTCTTCTAAATCTATTTGATGCCGGAGAAACTCTATAAGCTTTGAAAGTGGCACTTCTCCCTGTGGTACCAAATGTCATCCGCCATAAGTGGGATGTGATTGCTTTTCGCTGTGAGTCAATCCACCTATATTTGAAGGCGACGCTTCTTCCTTTCCAACAGCTTCTCTTGATGCTTTGGAACATTGAAAAGCATCGGCCCACTAAGTGGTCCAACATTTTCCTCAAGTATTTATCAACCATTGGGCCAAAAGTACTGATCATGATTGCCCGAAAGGTATTCGAAAAAAAGTGTGTGATGGTTTGTCATGGTTTCTCCCATAGCTTTATAAACCCGTGGCTGCCATCTTCTCAGCATCCTCCTCTTGATTAATAATCGCTTTGATGCGGAAGAAGAACCCTTGGCATTGACCTTTTGAAATACTTTATTGCTCTTGTTTTTGGAAAAAGACATCAAGCACTTCCGCTGGTATTGCTCACACGCTTGTAGCACTAAATCCTTGTAATTATCTCGCAATTCGCCATGCTTACATCCGAACATGATCATTGTTGATCTCGGATGCCATCTTGAACTAGCAGATTGTCCCACCGGCGTGCCAAAAAGTGTGTTGACACAAAATGTGACGACCGCGTACGCACACACACAGCAGCCGGTGCGTAGCTTCAATCGGGTGCCCGGTGCTTCGTGATCCGGAACGCAAGCGGTCATTTGACTCGAAAGAAACTCGACAAGGATAAAACAAGAAATGTCAAACCGAACATGTCGGGTGAGACCCGGCATAGCCCGTATATACGGCCCCTGAAGTTACTTACAACGACATACAGCTATAGGAAGTCATGCGCCAACAAGTTTATAAATCATTCGCTAATCATAGGATGGACATACGTAAAGATCTGATTGCGAATGCATATGCATGGGAAGACATGTTTGAACAAGTGAAATTGATTATGCGTTAATGCATATCCAAGCTCAACAATCCAAATTTTGAGTTGGGGTCCATGAAGAAGGAACGTAAATAAACACGATTAAGCCAATCTAAAACTCAAGGCGCATGCGCATTTACGACACCTAGTTTCGTCAAAAAACTTAAACGTGATTAACATACATGAACCCACAACATGTGACAATCTAGATTAAAATAATTCAGCCATTACGAGCATGTTATCTATTTGCAAAGGTATTATGAAAGTAATGATCATTGAAGCTCGAATAAAACCATAGAAGAGGGCCGAACAATATCAATCTAGATTGGGCAAAAGTGTGTTACAAATATATAAAATATTTAAAACATGCAACACAGGATAACTTGATGAATCTATTTAGATTTTGCCGTAATCTAATAGAGCCGATAATTGTCTTGCTTCCACTAAGCATATTGAGCAAACGCCTGCCGCACGGTATCTACTCATAAACAAAGTATAAGCGAAGACTTCTTGATTGTCAAGCAAAGATCCGCCGCACGATCATTGAAAACAAACAAGACTACTTGCATCACGTTTAAATCCACCGCATGATACTAAACATGATAACAAGGTTGTCGGAACTTACGGAGGTCGACGGATCGATGACTCCTCTCAAGAACTTCGACGACACGACAAAAGGACTCGAAAGTTGGCACGGGGCCGGTTGTATTGATTTGGTTGTGAACGCCTATTACAATGGTCGAGGGACAATATTTATACCCTAGACGAAACACGAGTCCTAAAAGACTACGATTTACAAAGGAACTCTTTAAATAAACTTGGAAACTACGATTCCTTGCCCCAAACTCTCAGAGTCCTTTATTATTACAACTTTCATCTTCTCGATCGGCTTTGCTTGCCATCTTCTCGCTTTCCCGAATGGAGTTACCGCCTTCGTATAACCGACCGCACAAGCATTTAGCCGACCGCTTGCGTTATTTGCCGAACACTCTTCTTCCTGCATGTGGGTCCACCTGTCATCTTCCAGAATTGACCAAAATCCAGTGTTAACAACTGCAACATAGAAAATTATGTAATACAAGTGCAACGTTGAAAAATTTGTACTTCAACATCCAAAAACAGGTAAAGAGTAATCAGTAGTGTCGCAAAATCAACCATGAAGCATGTAAATGAAAACATCTCAAAATCACCTTTTAGTGCTGCAACATTTGGAAAAGGTATTGCAACAATCCTAACATTATAATTTCCTTTCTGCAACACATGAAATCACCTATTGCAATATATGAAAATCATCTGGTGCAACATCAAAAAATCATCCTTGCAACACGGAGAAACAACAAAAAAAAGGCGTGCAAACAGCAAGGGGGTGGGCTCGGGGTGCAAGCTGCTCCAGCCCTGGCCCATCACCTTTGAGCTCGCCGGAGGGAGGGCTTAGATACAGAGGAGGAACGACCAACCTCGTCGGTGCCGCCGCCGTCGTCCTCGTCTCCGATGGGGGAAGCGGGAGCCGGGTCGCTTGGAAGCGCGGGTCGCAATGGAGGTCACGGATGGGGGAGGGAGGGAGGGAGTGCGGGCAGGGTGGCAGCGAGCTAGGCACGGGCGCAACGTCCGTCCCGGGGCGCTAGCAGGCTCAGAGCACGGCGCGGCGCGGGCGGTAGCGAGCGGGTGGGCGGAGCCAGCGCAGTCGCGGGATGTGAGTGGGTGGCATGGGGGAGCGGGGCGGTCGCGGGATGGGAGTTGGGGTCATGGGCCGCGTCTGGACGTTAATTTGGGGACGGACGTCCTCGTAGAATCGTTATCGTAGATTAAACTGTTGTCGAATATTTTTGCTATGTATCAAATAATGTGTTCTTTATTGTTTTTTTTTTGCGGAATCGTGTTTGTTATTATTCTTGTTTGCAGACATTATTTAACCTTCGTGGCAAGATCAATCAGATAGTGCACCATTGATAGCCGGGTTGTGCATGGTTTGTTTTGAAAACCACACGAATTGAGTGTCGGTCTGTCGGAAACGAGGCGCTTGAATTCCAAATTTCTAGCCACGTAGATGGTTGATAACTTGATATGCTCTGCCCGCGAAGCGCTCAGCTGGCATGTGAACCGACCGACGGGGCATCGTCGGCCTGGTCTCCTCCGTTCATCCAGGCGTACTTGCCCAGGAACGGGTTGGCCAGGCTCTCCGGCGGGTAGCTGTCGATGCAGTCGGCCCAGGCACCCTTGTCGGCCATGTCGCCGGTGACCTCCCAGACGCAGCTGTTGCACTTGAACCCCGACCCGAAGGTGACCATGAGCACCCCCGACCTTGAGCCTCCCTTGGCCTCCATGTAGGAGGACAGCACGTACCAGACGCTGCTCGTCGACGTGTTCCCCCACCTGTGCAGCGTCATCCTCGACGGCTCCACGTCGCGCTCTTCCAGCCCCATGTCCCGCTTCACCGCGTCGATCACCGCGACGCCGCCGGGGTGGAGGCAGAAGTGGTCGGCCCCGGCCTTGAAGTTGACCTTAGAGCTGCTACCGCAGCGCAGCAGCTTTTGGCATGCCACGACGGCCGCGAACCGGGTGAGCTCCCTGACGGGGAGGATGCGCGGCGCGAGGCGCGTCATGTTGGCGGCGAAGGCTCGGACGGCGACCTTGGGGAGCGACTTGCTGAGGCTGATGCCGACGAGGCCGTCGCCGTCCTCGCGCTGCACGATGGCCGAGTGCGCGTCGTCGGCGGCGGCGACGGTGGTGCGCTCCACGACGCGGAGCTCCATCTTGGCGCGCCCGCGGAGCGCCGGGTCGGTGGTGAGCAGCACGGCCGAGCCGCCGCAGCGGAAGAGGCAGTGGCCCAGCATCATGGACCTGTCGACGCCCGCGTAGCAGTTGGGCGTGATGCACTCCGCGGAGACGACGAGCGCCAGCGTCGGGCGCCGCGGGGACTGGGACCGGGACCGCGCGTGCATGGTGCTCCGGGCGAGGTCCACGGCGACGAGCACGGCGGCGCATCCCATCCCAGAGAGGTTGTAGGCCGCGACGTCGTCGCGCATGCCGTGCGCGCGCACGATCCGGGACGCGAGCGACGGCGCCGGGGTGGAACGTGCTGACGTTGACGACCAGGACGTCGACGTCGCGAGGGCCGAGGCCCGACTGCCTGGCGAACAGCTCCGCCACGGCGCCGTGGAAGAAGGCGTCCATCTCGTGGAGGCAGTCCTGGTGGGTGGGGCTGTGCTCGAGGCCGGCGATGACGGTGCGCGGGGCGTAGGTGTGCTCGCCGAGGCCCGAGCGGAGGACGACGCGGAGGAGGAAGCGGCGGAGGGGCACGCTGAGCCGCTCGCTGCGGTCCATCGCGGCGCTCAGCATCTCCGTGGAGACCTTGCGGTCGTCCGGCGGCTTGTAGCAGACGTAGTCCAGGAGGTAGCACCGCGAGCTCCGGCGACCGGAGGCTGCCGCCGCGGTCAGGTAGGCGGCCACCACGAGGAGTGGCAACAGCAGGAGCAAAGCGATGAGCTGCATGATCTGTCAGCTACACGCGCGCGATGTACCAGGATTTGGGCATCCAATGAACTGTGGGGTACACTATATGTACTGGTACATACGTATCGCCGAGAAGCCAAGAGATTGGGAAAAAAAAACGTGACGACAAGCTGAGCTGAGAGTACAAGTGCGCGTCGCTTCACTTGATGCGTATGGTTGATCGCATAGTCGGTGTTGGTTAGTTTATTTTGATGCGGACATTGCCCGGTGAAGTGAACTGGTGATTGACAAACAGCGGAGCTCAATAAAAATGCCGCTTGTCAAGGACAAGGAGGCTACTGCGGTTCATGTCCGACAACAGAGCAAACTGTGATGGTGACTTGCACGGTTCGCTTGATCGTTTATGTGGTTTATAAGCTGGCTGATGCTGTTTTGTTGTGAAAGAAAAACACTGTGTCATAGCTGATAAGCATGGCTGATACGATCAAGCGAACATGCGTTGAATTTTGTTGAGAAGAAACACATGGCGCAGGAGGATGGGGGATTCCTGATCTGGGACCGACTCTTGTGCGTGTGACGGTATTGAAGATTGATCCAATCGTGGATGATCTTGCAGCTTCTATTCACGCCCACAATTGTTTTTCTTGAGGTTAAACTGGATTGATGGAAACTTCCTCTGAACAAAGAAAGAACACCGGCCCAACAACTATTTTGAGGAAATAAAATTTTGAGATCATTCTTTTCGTATGTTGTCCTAAACTCGATGTCATGCTCATATGTCGCATCTTGTCCTGTGAGACCGTATCGTGAACAATCTTTTCTTCACTTTGGGGCACACAATCGCACATTGAGGTGCACATGAAACATGAATCCATTTATTTAGGCAAACAGGGAGTAAAAATCTCAATAAGTTATCATGCAATTTCTATTGCGCATGACTCTTAACTAATTCCCTAGCAGTATCGTCGGCACCCGAGGGGACGGCTGGCACGTCGCCGTCGTTGCTGACCCTTGTCTTTCCGCTCCGGCGGCTCTCTCTCCGTCGCCTGCGCCACCAGTCCACCTGGTGCTTCCTGTCGCAGCGGCGTCGCTTCCTGTGGACCTCTCGGGTTTGCTGCTTCCACGAGCGAGGTCACATAGACGCACACAACACAGGGTGAGTTCCTGGGCCGGGTGAGGAGAATTCCACGGGATGGGCCAGGTTACAGTTACAATCTTGTCCAGACTTTACTCGGGTTCCTCCTATCTAGGCCGCAATCCTAGCCAACCCTGGCCCAACCGAGCAAAGCCTAGTGTGAGCAGCCACGCCGCCGCCCGCGCGGTATCGCTGTCGCTGGAGTGTGGAGGCTGGGGAGGGAGGCAGCAGGTTTGAAAGCGGTAAAAATTAAACTGAATGCCGCTATACTATTATACTCCCAATTATCAACGCCAGTTTCAGAGGGCAAACCCAGAGCTGGTGACAGCTGTTCACAAACCTACTTGTGTCTTTATTAGATTTTTTTTAAAAAAAAACTATTTGTGTGGACATCAGATGCTAAGACAAAACAGAGATCATTAAACAGTTAAAACAAGTAATATAAACTATGTTTCTGAAGAGAGCAAAACCGGATCCGTGGCGCAATGGTAGCGCGTCTGACGTATTTTTATTCCCTTTTTTTTTATAATTTCTTCCTTATTGAGTTATCTGTTATCAGCTTCAGTCGCCATGAGAAAGAAAACATATTCCCCTTTTTTTTTTATAATTTCTTCCTTATTGAGTTATCTGTTATCAGCTTCAGTCGCCATGAGAAAGAAAACAGCGTCGGGTTCAATACCCCCGATCTATGTAAGGATTTTTTTTTTCATTTTCTCCTTATTGATTTTGTATTTTTATTCCTTTTTTTTTAATAATTTCTTCCTTATTGAGTTATCTGTTATCAGCTTCAGTTGCCATGAGAAAGAAAACAGCGTCGGGTTCAATACCCCCCATCTATGTCCCGATTTTTTTTTCATTTTCTCCTTATTGATTGAGTTATCTGTTATCGCTTCAGTCGCTGTGAGAAAGGAAACAGCAACCTTCTCAGTTTGGTTTTTTCACATCGGGATCCCTTGATGCTCGGCCGAGTACCCAGATCATCTTCCAGTTCCCTTCTGTCCAGCGAACATAGTTTTTGCCTTTTTTTTATTGTTTTTTTTTCAATTACATAGTACAGACACGTGCACACCTCTAAACGACTAACCTAGGAGATTTACAAAGTCATCACAGTCACTTAATTGCCGATGGCGTGTTGTAACTAATAAAGATGTAAAAATGGCAAGCAGGACAGACAAGCATTGTTGGCTTGTGTTTATAGGTTGGGTTCTTAGATGGGTACATTTTAGATGGCGAGGATGACTTCATATTTTTAGTGGGTTGGGTCAGATTTAATAGAAAATTAGGTTTGATATGCATTGTGCTTTTTTTTTGTGTGTGTCTATTGTTTTGAAATGGCTTGACTAGATGCTGTAGATATTGTATTAAGGGTGTGTTTGGTAGGGATACAGATTCTTACAGAAACGATTTGGACTCCGATTCTCTCAAGAAACGTTTTAATGATGAACAAGAATTACTTTAACAAACCGTTTGGTTGGTAGGCTAGATTCTGATTCCAAAAGAAAATATTTTTTCGTGAAAAAAATTATATAAATAGGAATATGTTTCAAAAAAAATCAGATTTTTTTTGTAGATGAAGAATATCTTTTGATACAATTTATTTTAACCTTTTGCACTTAAAAAAGATAACCAGAAAAAAGCAGCCGCTAGTGTGTATGCTAGAGCCGAAACGAAACGGTAGAAACCAGGGTGGAGCGGTTTCTCTCCTGCAGGCAAAAAAGTACGAAACCATCGGAACAATTCTAGCCAAAAACGTTTCTGAGTTGTAGCGTTTGGCACTGTTTCTCCAGATTCCATCCAAAAACGCATATGATTCGATGATCCAAACACACCCTAACTCGATGTGAGACTCATGTGTTCGTTTTGAGGTGCTAATTGGCACGATGTAGCTTTCTATTATATTAAATTGTTCTCAATAAATTTTAGTCAAATTCTTTAAAAATTTGAGGTGTGAACACAAACTTTTAGTTAAAAAGGTCTCACTTTTCATAAGAAGGTGGATGGGCCACACGATGTTGCAGCGCAAATTGGTGTAAAATAGTTTCATATCACTTTGAATCATTTCTAACAAATTTTAGTTCCTTCCACTAAAATTTTAAGGTGAGGCATGCGAGCTTTTAGTTTCAGAATCCATCTTTTGATATGCGTCCTACATTCAGATCTTGTGACGCCAATTGCCACCGGGTCTAAGCATTTTGCAGGGCGGACCGGCAAAATGCTTAGTTGAGTTTGGATCTAAAATCTGTGCCAAATACCATTCCACAAGCCGCTTTGGGCCTGGACGCTATTTTCGGTAGAAAAGTAAATAAAATTGTGTTTCAGGCTAGGCTCGTATAAGTAAATAAAATAGTGTTTCAGGCTAGGCTCGTACCGAGCCGATTTTTTCTGGAAGTGCGCCTCTATCCAGGGATGTCCAATAAGATTCACGGGCCGGGCCATATGTGTTCAGGTCTACGTTGCAAAATAGGACAATGAAATAATTCAAGCCCTAACCAACGTGCTGCCGCACCTGCGTAGCGTTCTTTTAAATAGTTGATCAATTACATATAAAAATATAAATAGTTATGATCAAATAAGTAGCATTAGATTTTTCATGAGATATACTTTTATAATATACTTATTTAGCATAAAAAATATTGTATTTTATCATATTTGGTCAAATTTTAGACACTTTAATAAAAAATACACTAGAATCACATTCTTTTCAGACAGAGGCAGTATCAACCAGTGTAAAAGTGCAAACCGGCAGCACCAACTTGCTCATTGCCCTGTTTGTCCGGACTTGTTTGGCTTATAAGCCATGGCTAAAAGTACTGTTAGCTGATTTGGTGTGAAAAAAATACTGTTCGTTTGACTGAAAGTACTGTTGACTGATTTGGTGTGAAAAAAATACTGTTCGTTGACTGATAAGCCATGACTTATAAGCCAAACACGACCGAGCGAACAGACTGACAGCCAAGACTAAAATAAGACAAGGCATCTCAACAGTAACAGTATCCTCCATAGACTCAAAACTAAAACCAGTATCTTTTAACAGTACCTGACAGCATAAATTAAACCAAGTACCTCAGACACTTAATGTAGCTCAAATAACTAGCACACACTCTAGTCGGAGACCCAATCAACTACTCTTTTGCCACAAAAGTAGTTCAAGCGAACAGGCCCACAAGCTGCTGCTGCTCCTACACTAGTCCTTTTCCACAGAACAGCCCTAAAACTACTCTTTTGCCGCAGCAGTCACCGCCACCGGTTATTTCAAATGGTCTGCAGCAGCAGCACCTGTCAGCTGCTGTGACCACCGCACGCCATGTTCCTGAGGGAGGGCAATTGAATGAGATATCCTCATCATTATTCGGATAAAAAAAGAATTGTACAGCACATTGCAACAGAACTTAAGCATACCGCAACAAACTCCAAGCTAACACCTATTCCTTTTTTCCTTTGCCCTGTGCAGCGAGCTTGGCAGCCACCTCCTCTTCTGATAAAGGCAGATAATAGATCCTCGGAGAGGACTGTGTCTTCTTGAAGAGATCATCAAGTGTCACAACAGGAGGCTCTGGCTTCTTTGGAGTGGGCGGAAGCCTCTCTCTCGCTAATGCTGCAGGGTCAGCGATAGGGGGCTTAGAAAGGGGAGGTGGCAGTTGCTCTTTTGGTGTAGCAGCCTGGCGTGGCACACTTTGATTATCCTGCGTCTGTTGAACAGGAGGTGCCCTTGTGGCAGCAGCTGGGCTAATAGGAGCAGCTGGCGGGGGAGGGGGGTCAACCTTGAGCTTCACTTCCTGAGGATCAACAAATTCAGCAACCAACTTATTGCCATTGTTTGGGGGCCACTGTAGGTTGTAAACAGTATCCCTAGTAGCCACAGCTTCATCCACCGAAGAAAACTATAAAGTTGGAGTGCAATGAG